TCAAGTTGTGAATGTTTGTGCTAGGGAGCGGAGGGCGGGTAAGATCCGAAAGAGCAAGGAGACGGCAAAACACCACCAATATCTCTTCATTGATCGTCTTATTGAAAGGAAAAGAGATGCAAACCGTTGATGGTTGGGTTGCCTCCCACCAAGCGCTTCTTTAACGTCGTGAGCCTGACACTTGCTCTTCAAGTTTAGGTCCACCCAAGAACCTCCTTGAAGTTGAGGTTCTCGTCGGAGAGGTGATGTCTCAAGTCATGAGCTTTGGACGGGTCCATTATTGAGGGCTCGTGAACTTGATCGGCTTTGAGGCTCCACCCACGAAACCTCTCCTTCTTTCCTTCTTCTTCTTTCTCTTTGCCCCACGCCATGTAATGCATCATCGCTTTACCACCATCGCATCCACCAAGAGGAATCGCCGATGGTTTGTCCTTGGCTTGGCAAAGAGCCGCAAATGGGTCCTTCTCAAGAAGCGCGTCGAGGTTGGGTGGAAAGCTTTCATACCCTCATAACTTGTGAATGCTTCATCCACCTCGACCTTGTCCTCATCTTGGACTCCACTTGCACCTTCTTCTTCTTCATCTTCAACCTCCCTTCCTTTTTCTTCGATTTCCTCCTCTCGGGGATCCTCAAGAAATTCCTCTTCTTTTTCTACTACCTCCTCCACAACTTCTTCTTTCCTCATCTTTCCTCGCTCTTCCGCAAGCAAGCGTTGAATAGAGAGTCTCCAAGCTATGTCTTCGATTGACTCGACACTCATCTCCTCATTGAGAACTTCCTCTTCAACGCTTGGGGTAAAATGTGGAAGAGTGGTGGCTTCCTCAAGAGGACATTCCAAGTCTCGAGCATCACAGTGGCCATCCATGACAACTTCCGACCGTTCCAATTCATCCTCGAGGATTTCCTCTTCATCTTCCTTTTTTTTCACCCTCTTCGTTCTCCTTCCCTTTCATGTCTTCAAGCACGGTTTGGAGGGCAAGGCGCCATGCAAGATCATAGAAAGGATTCTCTTGCTAATCCACACTCATGTCTTGGTCTTCAAAGTTGGTCTCGGGAAGGGGAAAGTGATGAGATTCGTCAATGCAACCTTCTTGTTCATTCTCACCACGTGAGCTGTCCGGGGTGAGTTCGTCTTGCTCCACATGGTTGTCATTGCTCGCCCTTTCAACATCCTCGTTCTCCTCCAATAATGAGAGGCGATAGCTTGCACAAGCCCGTTCCACCTTCTCCTCATATAATGAGAGGCGATAGCTTGCACAAGCCCGTTCCACCTTCTCCAAAAGTGTCAAGCCGGGAGGAGGGAGGGATTGGAAATCCGTGTTGGAGCTTGTTCTTGTAAAATTTTCCTCGGCAAGCTCCAACTTGGACTTCGATTCGGGTTGTGGGAGATCCAAGTTCGAGCACCCTTCATCGGTGCCTCGAACAAACCACTCCACCATGAGCTCCAATTTGCTCTTTGGCTCCGGTTATGGAGTGTCACATGGTCTTGATGATTGTCCCATGAAGGCTTCCACTGCCAACTCCAACTTGGATTTCTCCTCGACTTGAGGAGGGAAGTTTTCTTCATATGGGGGAGCTTCTTGAAATCCCCAATGGTATGCTTGTTCTTCTTGGAAGGGAGGTTGATAATAGAACCCGGATCCTTGGCTTCCTCCTTTTGGTTTCTCCATGAAGCTCTGGGGTACCCCCATTCAGGTGGTTGTGGATACCCCCACATGTTGTGGAAGCCATTGGGATCCATGATTCAACATACATAAATAAAAACACAAAAAGAAAATAAAAAAAACACAAACCACCCTTCAAGACGAAGAGTGGGGTAAACAAAACATAACACGAAACACAAAACACAAACAAAAAGTCAAGATTTAGAATGCTAGAGTAACACTAAGCGACCTTTTCAAAATAAAAGACAACGGTTCCCCGGCAACGGTGCCAAAAACTTGACTCGCACGAAACTACACCACATATTAATCCCTACTAGAGCCCAACTTTTTAAACTCTAGTCGGGTGTAGTATAGAGCAAGTATTTAAATTGTCAACCCGAGCCGATCCATGTACCCCTACTTCAATTGCTTAGGTTGTTTTCTAGCAAGCAACTTTTGGGTTTATAACTAATGGAACTACAAACTAAACTATCAAGGAAAAGTAAATAAAGGAAAATCCTAACTAAGGGAGCTTCACCCAGGAGTTGTTTCCCCCTAACTAGCTACCGTGAATCATTGGATTGAATAGAACCGTGTGGCATAGGTTGTTTTGAACCGCGGGTGGTGAGCAACTAGTAATCAATCTGTCACGACATCAATTCACTAGCGATCGATTTGTCATGGGATCGATCCACTCACCAAGTCTAGGGGAACCACTAGGAGGAGCAACTAGCGATCAATTTGTCACGGGATGGATTCACTGGAGGTTGATTTGTCGCTGGATCGATCCTCTCGCTCGGTCACTAGTGGTTTCCAAGGTCTCTCCCTCAAACTGGAGTTTGAGCGGCTTAATCACAACCAACCTAGATGCAAACTAGTAAGCGCGAACCGCAGAGGAAAGCGTATGTGATCGGAGACCACAGTCTCAATTGCTAAATCGAGGTAAGCATGAAAGGCCGTGTCACTCCATCCTCTTGGTTTAGACAATCGGTAATCGACTTACTCCCTCACTCAACTCTAAGGTCAGACGGCTTAATCACGATTAACCGATTTGCTTAACTCAAGATTGAGGGTTGCCCTAACTTAACCTAGTTTGGGTGGCTCACAAAGCGGAAGGAAAACCAACTAGATTGAGTCTCCCTCGGAAGGGGGATTTTCCTCTCTAAACTAGGCTAAGGTGGCTAATTAGATTGGTAGCACCTTCATGCACAAACCTAAGGGTACTAAGCACAATTATGTACAACCCCTAGGTTGCTAAGCACGAGCATGCACAATCACCATGAAAACACCTCTAATACTCAAATTGATGCAAACCCATACTTAATCATTCAATCTAAACAAGTAATTACAAAGTATTAGTTAGGGATTTACAACACCCAAGAGAAAAGAGTGAGTTTCTAGAGAGAGAGAGAGGGATTACAGATTTGAGCTCAAGATCTTCTCCTTCTCCTTCTAGGCTTGAATCTTCCACCCAAGCCTCCAATGATGCTCCAAGATCACTCTAGCCTCCGTGAAATGCGGTTGTTTCCTGGACGCCTTCACTTCACTGCTACGAGGCAATTGCTAGGACCTGAAATGTATCAAAACAAGAACAACCTAGCGTGAAATATGTCGAGGAACGATGAAATGCTATGCTAAACGAATAAGAAATGAGGGGTAAATATGTGTACATTTGGGCCCGAATCAGTTAGAATGGAGAGTGTTGGGAGAGATATTTAGATAGCTGCTACTGTGAATGTTAAAAAGCTTTCGTTCTAGCTTTGACATCTGACTCGCACGAAACTATACCATGAATTAATCCCGACTAGAGCCCAAGTTTTTAAATTCTAGCCGGGTGCAGTATAGGGCAAGTATTTAAATTGTCAACCCGGGCCTGTCCATGTACCCCTACTTCAATCAGTTAGGTAGTTAAGTTGTTATCTAGCAAAACAGTTTTTTGGGTTTAAAACTATAAAAACTACAAATGAAAACAAGCAAGTAAATTGATGGGAATTCTATATGAGAGTACCTCACTCGGGTGTTGCTTCCACCTAACTACTACCATGGTATGTGAATGGAAACGATTGCTATGGGAAAGGTAACTGCGAACCGCAGAGGGATGCAAATATGATCGTAGACCACACTCTGGTTTGCTAAACCGAGGTATACATTGTAGGCCGTGTCACTCGGCCCTCTCGGTTTAGACAATCGGTGGTTGACTTACTCCCTCACTCAACTTAAGGGTTGGACAACTTAATCGCGCTTAACCAGTTTGCTTAATTCAACATTGAGGTTTTCCCTTAATTAACCTAGTTAGGTGACTTAAAAAGCTAGAGGAAAACCAACTCGATTGAGTCTCCATTGAAAGGGGTATTTTCCTCTCTAATCTAGGTTAAAGTGGCTAATTAGATTGCTAAGCACCAACATGCACAAACCTAAGGATGCTAAGCACAATCATGCACAATCCTTAGGTTGCTAAGCACCAACATGCACAAACCTAAGGATGCTAAGCACAAAACATGCACAATCCTTAGATTGCTAAGCACAAGCATGCACAATCAACATGAATAATACCTTAATCATTGAATTAAACAACACCCATAAACAATCATTCAATTCACATGATTGTAGCTAGGGTTTACAACACCCAAGTGAATAGGTAGGCTATTCCATAGCTAAGCAAGAGAAAACAACAGAAAGAACCATGAAGTGATGTCAATCTTTCCTCCTTGTTGCTTGAGACACCCTTGAGATGAAGAAATCTACAATCCTCTAGCTAGGAACAAGCCTAAAGCTCCTTCTTCCTCCTTTGATTTGCACTTTCTCACTCTAGAAGAAACCCTAACCTCTCACTAGAATCCTCTTTATTCTGAAAATGAAAACCTAACCTAAAAATGAAGCTCCCCTTTCTCCTTCAGCTCCCCTCTCCTTTTATACCCAAATCAGGCTCAGTTCAACGTCTTAGAGCTGAGTTCAAGGACGCGTTGAACATTTCACGGCCGTGAACATTGAAACGCGTCCGTGAACTCAGTGCTGAGACCAAAACGCACCGCTTCACATCCACGGTTCACGGTTTGTGCTTAGAGTGTTACACCCCGCTCTTCCCAAAAGTCAAAATGACTAACATACCCTTGGGCCAAGTTCCACCGGATTACCGATGAGGATTAAAAATGTGAACTATCGGTTCAAGCGGTGTCGAATTTCGACATAAAATGAGAAAGTTACGGATATTAATTGAGTTTCGGATTAAACTCACCCGCTAGTGTGAAATTCCCAAATTAACCCCGAAGAAATTAAACCTAACCTAACCCTACTTCTCAGTCGGACTCACCTAGAACCTATATATATTAAACCTAAAACTATACCCGGGGAGGAGACCTTTTAGCCGGCCATTTTTCCTTTTCCACCGCGAACACGAGGCGAGGTGTCACGGAGGTTGGGGCCGATCCGGAGAACCCTAGAGCAAAGCCTCGGTTTCCCTTTTACAATTGAATCTACTCAGCCCTGGCGGCGCCGTTGGAAAGGGTATTGGATCACCATGGCCTTCTCTGTTCCTTCACATAGGGACAAAATTTCCATGGAACTAGCTAGGTAAGTTTCAGATCCCTCCCTCGGTTTTCATTGGGTGAAGGATGGTTAATTAGTAGCAGGTGGGAGACAAGGTCAGCGTGGCTTAATGATTGGTTGGGTTTATTTAGGTGGTTGCCAATTGCAAGCAGAATTATTTCATGTAAATGGAACTCGATGATCTTTGGGTGCGACACCATTGGATTAAGGTTCTACGAATTGAGGAACCATCAGTTGAGGTGAGTGTAGAGGGGGTAAATTCTACGCCTTACGGTTTTTCAAGTATTTGCTTTGAGTATTTTCAAGTTTGAATTACGTGATGTATGTGCAGTGTTTGATTCATGTTTGAGATTGCATGATTATGTTTGATGATATGTGATTTTGGTTAAGCTATGCTTGATGTGAATGTGCATGAGTTCTTAGTTAATTTAAAGCTTTCCGTTTATAAGTTATTGTTAAAGTTAAGAAACAAGTCATTTTTAAAGAAGTAACTCACCTTCAAGAAGGTGAAGTCGTTTTAAGTGTTTTCTTTGGTCACTAGCGCCAGTCCGTTGCCGTTTGAGACAGTTGAGATAGAGCAGCAGTTATGCTCTTGAGATTTTTAAGATGGGCAGCAGTTATGCCCTTGAGAATCGTGGTGAAGAGCCACCACGATAAGTTTAAGATGTTAGGGGGATGAATCGTTACGACTTCCCTAACTAAGTTTAAGTTTAAGGAAAGCCTTGATGGCTTCTCATACGTATGAGTTGGCAACCAGACTAGCTAGTGAGGGATCCCAGTGTCAGTCAAGTATTTAAGTCAAGATTTGAGTTTTAAGAGAGGAGAGTAATTTCAACTCCCTCAAAGTTTAAGAGTTAAGATTTTAAGATTGGAAGTACAAACAACTTCCACTAGTTAAAGTTAAGTGTTTAAGTAAGGTACTGAAGTATTGGTAGTATTAAAACGTAAGGGCGTAGACTGACCCCATCTCACTCACCAGTTTGAAGAGGACTAAGAGGAGTTAGAGAGCAGCGAGTTCGAGTGAAGCTAGCTAGAGGAGGACGGTACGAGCGTCACAGAGGAAGTCTAGTCGGAGCTTTTCATACAAGCAGCAACACTTGGGACTAGTTAGTTATTATGTTTTATGAATATGAGTACAGACTGGAGATTATCTTGAGATCAGGTTGAGATTTTAAAGTTTGAGTTTAATTTGCCCACGTGTTAGGGCTTTGCTTCGAACTTCAAGTGTGTTTTCAGTATTTTTATTTATGTTAAATTTTTCCCGCTGAAGTTTAAGGTTTGAGTATTTTATTTATCAAGGGCATTTTAGTAAAAGTAGTACCCGGCCGGGTTAGGGTGTTACATAGAGTTCACGGTCTTAGCGACCGTGAACTCACTCGGCGTCAGTAACATCTGGATTCACCCGGGACGTTTTGCGGTTCACGGATTTTGGCTCCAGTTCACGGTCCTGTAAGACTGTGAACTCCAATGGCAGACCTTGAACACAGGTTGTTTCCTCCTCTTTGCTCCTTTTCTGCCAACTTTCGACTCCGGGGCTGGTTTCATTGGTTAGATCCTGAAACACGCTAAAACATAAGAAACCTAGCGTAAAACCACCCTTTTAGGAGCGAAATTACCACAAACGCCTAAGAAAAATGGGGGGTAAAACATGTACAATTAGGCCCAAATCAACATCCCCTTGAGTATTGCTTCCAATATGCTATCTTTTTGTACTTTTCATGGGCTGTTAGTTAGCGTGTACTACTACTAAGTGGTTTTTCTGTTGGTAGCTTTGTATTGAGTAGGACAATCGTAGTTAGTTTCCTTTGGTTTGCGCTTTTGATGAAATGAAAAAAATTATTTTCATAAAACAATTGATCTGGCTCCTGGTAGGGGTGAACAAACACACCCGCAAACCGATCCACCCGTCCAACCCGACCCAACCCACCCATATTTATCGCTAAAACGAAGGTTTTGGGTTGGGTGACGGTTTTCTTTTGTACAACCCGCCTCTTTTGGGTTGGGTTTGGATTTTGAATTACACAACCCGTAGAACCCGACCCAACCTGTGTTCCAATTATTGGTATGAGTTCGTATCCAAAAAAATATTTATGTCGTAAATAGTCATACTGATGAGAAAATTAAGATACTTCGTCATGTTTTTCTCTCATGGTCTCCCTAATCTAATGCATTCTTCAGCTTAGAGTTTGGACATAAATTTAATATAGCTATGATTCACGTAATCCGTTTTCTTGTGTACAATTTTAATAGAATAACTTATTATGGATGCATTCATTTATAACCTTTTTAGCCTATTTTAATAAATATCGTGAAAAAAACTAGACATAAGATGAAGTAAATCAAATTTTATTAAAATTCAAAAAACATTTGTGAATTTTCATACCTTTCATCTCGGTTTATTCGTTTGAATTTTTAATTAGTTATAAAATATTTTTATGGTGTAGAATAATTATATATTTTGTGTTGGGTTAGGTTTTTACTTAAAAATATCGCAAACTCGACCCAACCCAATTAGAAACAAACCGTAGGGTTTAAATTTTTTTGGGTGTGTTTGGATTTGATATTTCCCAAACCATAGTGCATGGGTCGGGTGATGAAAATGTCTAAACCCGGACCACCCGACCCATGTACACCCCTAACTCCAGGGTGTTGAGTTGGAAGAGTTTTCGTGACGTGACAGTTAACAAAAAAATGTAAATACAATTTGTTAGACAAATCTTTTAACTTAGACAAAGTATAAGCCAAGCTTTAAGTTTAACAAACTATTAGCCAAAATGTCGAAAATATAAAATAATAACTAAACTTTTCATCACATGCATAATTTTTGTTGGTGATATATTAATGAACATTGCCTATAAACTCACCACTCAAACTTCTCCCTTCTATGCCTGAACTTTTTATTATTATAATGTAATGATCTCTCCTTTCACAATATCGCCGAGAACATTCTTGTACCACTCTCCCCTGAGGTTCTCGTAACGCTGCCATACCTTCTCTGAAACAATGATAGAATAAATGTTTAGCTAATATTATATAAAAAATAAAAGGTTTGGCTTATAACTTTTCAAAGTTAAAATGATGGATATGATTTTTTATTTTTAAAGATTTGACTGTATTCAATAAAATTAAAATGTTTGGCTAATAAAGTGTATCTGCCCTCCTTAAAAAGATATATAAAATATTAAACCTTATAATTCGCCCATCATTAATCAACCACATATTTTATTTATAGCCTCTCTATCTTATACTGACTCGATATGACACAACTCCTAACAATGACCAAGTGTAACTGATAGACCGTCACTTACACATGTTTTTACCCCCGTTCTTACTCCGTTTGAGGTATTGATTCTCGTGTTTTAGGCCGATTTCACGCTAGGTTGTGCTTGTTTGTGATATTTCAGGTCCTAGTACGTGAATGAAGGCTTAGGAGCGAGTCTGGGGTCGATTGGACGAAGAACGGACGAATGGCGAGCTGTTTGGGGAGTGCACGGGCAGACCAGGGAGGCTGCACGGCCGTGCACTTGAGCGATATGGCCGTGCGCCTCATGCCGAGGCCATGCACGGGCAGGCCCTGAAGCTTGCACGGCCGTGCACCTGGCCGTGCAAGATGTCTGAGTTCGAACTAAATGAAACGGCGCGTTTCAGGGTGCACGGCCAGAATGGTGTTCTGCACGGCCGTGCACCTGGCCGTGCAACTCGGGAAACCGGTTTTAAAGCCTAATCCGAGCCAAAAGTGAGAGAATCGTGTTTTCAGAGCAAAAACAGAGCCCTAGAGAGAGAAAGTGCGAAGAACACATCCTAGAAGCTGTCTTAGAGCTGGATTTCATCAAATCGAGCTTGGAGATCGTCATAGGAGTGGAAATCATCGTCCCGGAGCAGATTATCCTCATCATTATGAGTATGACTAATCCGATTCTTGTTTTCTCTTCTCTCTCTATGGAGTAGAACCCTTCTCTCACTTGGGTATGAAGAACCCTAGTTCCTTGTGTTAGGGATTTGATTGTAATGACTTGGGATGATATTACTGTTTGATTTTAATCGAATGACGCATGTTTATTGAATTGATTTGAGTCTGATCAGCTTTTCTCAATTTCTGCTTCAACCTGAGATAGATAGAATCTGATTAGGTTGTTAGAGCCTCTTCATTCGATAGTAGGAGATTGGCTATACGAGAGTTAGCCAGTTTACTGCTTTGTACTGGTGTTCTTGGCGCCAGTAGTGGAGTTCTGTGTTCATAGCCTTAGCTTTCTATCCCGGTGAAGACTAGTCGTCTGCCGGGTAGTTAGACTGAGAGGGCTTGGTCAGCTTAAGAGATTCCAAGCTACTGTCGGATCTTCCGCAGTCTAATCAACAGTAAATCAACCCAGGGAATTGCAATTGAATCTAACTAAGGGGCTAGGGGGACTCAATCCCGAGTGACTCTTACCTGCTTTAGAAACCCGAACAAATTACTGCTTTCTTGTTGCTTTTACTTTTCACAATAATCACTTGAATTAGTTTGCTAGATAATAGAGAATCACGGAGTAAGCAGTAGATCTAGACCCCGGGTTGATAATTAAACTTGCCTGTTACTGCAGTCCCTTTCATTGGTTACACTTGGCCATTGTTAGGTGTTGTGTTTTAGCCTGTTACTGCAGAATCAATAATCTCGACTAAAGCATAATTGAATCATGAAAACAAGCATAGATTGAATATGAACTCAAGATTATCAAGTAGGAGTATTCATACAATCATCCAATCAAACAAACATAGCTAGGGTTCCTCAAAACCTAAGTGAAGGGAAGTTACTCCATAGAAAAGAGAGAGACTGCAGTAAGAATCTTCAGATGATCACTCTTCAAGTCCGGGCTTGTTCCTCGAGCTTCCAAGGCGAAGAAATCCTCCAATTCCACTCCAAGAATGCTCTCAAATCGCCCACTCTATCTTTGGTTCGTCCCTTGGGTGTTTGGGATCCAAAACCCAGCTCTACCTTTCCTTTGGCTTCAATCTGTCTAAAAAACCCGATTCTGAGCAAAACACCGTCGAGGACACGGCCATGTTTTGCTTTTGCTCCCCCGTGTTAAAAACACGCCCGCGCGCGTCGGCCAAAACACGGTCGTGCCTAAATATGGGTACGGCCGTGTTTTGATTTAGGCGCGCCCGTGTTTTTATTGCCGAACCTGTTCCCCTATATTCAATGCTTCGTTTCTCCCTCGTCCGGACTCCGAATCAGTCGCCGTTTGATCCCAGACGCTCGTAGTCTCGTCATATTTCTTTTCATGACAAACTTGCATGATTCTTTGTCCATAAAGTAAGGTAGAAATCCATTCTTCTTCAGGTCATGCCCGAGTTTCTTCTCCCTAATCGCCAATTGATCTCTAATTTACTTGAAACTTGCGCCTATGCATCACTTTATGTGCTAGGACCTGAAATGTAACAAAGGAACACAACCTACCGTAAAATAGGCCAAAGAAGCAATAATGCAAGCTTAAACGATAATGAAACAAAGGGGAAAACATGTGCAAATATCGAGTCATCAAATCCCCCCACACTTAACCGTTTGCTTGTCCCCAAGCAAACTTAACTCAAACCAATGCATCTCTCCAGACCTCTATAGAAACATACAACCCCGATTGTCGGTAGAGGATTTCCTAGATCAAATAGCAGCATACGAGGTCAACTGGTCTTCTAAGACGTTCCATATCTCTCTCAATGCGAGTACTAGACTCAAGCCAGGATCATGAGAAGAAGTAGAAGTAAGACAGTTAGTTCATGGATAAAGGGACTCACACTATTCACAACCAAGGACTCGTTGTACCGGGGTACTCTTTCACTTCATTTCACCGTTGGAACCCCTTTTTCACTTTCATTTTACTTTTTTTTTCTTTTTCATTCACTTGGCGGGGGTTCCAACTGCAGTCTTTTGCACGGTCGACCCTTATTAGTCGAGCAAGAGCAATTTCTGTACATCTGGCGCTCGCCAGAGTACTTCTTTTAACTCCTTTTCCTCAACTCGTGCGGAGGGTCAATGAAATTAAGGGGGGTCGGAAGCTCTATCCGTGCCCTTAAAAACAGATCCTCAAGTAGGCAAACCGTTCAA